CTCTGAATTATTAATGTGTTCATCTATCGTCAGTCCCACCGACGGGAAAGGAGTGTGGTGGAGCCGTCTGGACACCGCTAGGTTTTGGCGGCTAACTGTTAGCAAAACTTCAACTGGACATCGGTGTATTTTTGCTAACACTTGGTCATAAGTTCATGTTTTAGTTTGGACCTGTTTTGTGTCCGGTCTCCACTCTGGTTTGGAGGTGACGGGGTGTGTGTGTGTGTGTGTTTACAGGAGGACGAGGCCGGAGACGGAGAACACAGCAGGATCGAGCCGATTGGTGGAGCTGACCACACCCCCGTCAGGTCACTGGAGTAAGTCTGACACTCATTGGTCCAACACGGTCTGTCAGGTTTTGTCTGTGTGTAGATGTGCTGGTGTTGATGCTCTGAGTGAACCTTCATCACCGTTCACTGTTGTTGTTGTTGTTTATCGTTGTTGTGTGTTTCCTCTGCGGCCTGTCTCCAGTTTAATCTGCAGGTACAGTAGCTGATGGTTGTTACAGTGTTGTTACAGTGTTGTTACAGTGTTGTTACAGTGTGGGCTGTTCTTTTCTCTCTGACCTCCGTCTCCTCTTCATCACTGAGCTCAGTTACAGTCAGTAAAAAACAGTCGGAGTCAGAAGAAACGTATTCACTAATGAAATGAAAGAAATCTGTAAATATTTCAGCAAATCTTTAAACCCTTGACCCTCAGAGGTCAGAGGTCATTTATCCCCCAAACCTGATCTTCTTTGTCGTCATTTCTAAAGTTCTAAGTTTTGTGTTAGTTTTAATTTTCTCCTCTTTACGTCACGATTCTGTCTCCACGTCATTTACATCAAGTTATTTTCTTTCCTGACCTTTAAACGTCATCATCTGATTTTATTTTTTATATCTTTTGCCCACATGGTGTCACTCCTCCCCTCTCCTCCCCTCCACCCCCTTCTTCTCCGTCCTCCATCTGTCAGAGACATAGTCAAAGTGGTGGAGGTGTCAAACGACGGTGGTCCGCTGGGAATCCACGTGGTGCCCTTCAGCGGCAGGGACCGCAGGTAAACTTTTTAGACGAAGGATTCCAATAGAATATTCCACAAATCCTCAGGGTTGAAGCTGAAAACTGGACTTGACATTAGCTCTGAAGTCTCTGTAAAATAACAACCGTCCGACCGACTACGGCGCCTTGAGGAACTCCACAGTCCTTTGGCATCAGGGGAGAAGGTCAACTTAAAGACAGATGTGTAGTCCTTGTTAAAGTGGAGTGTGGTACTCTGTCAGTGGACCATCGTCTGAGGACGGTCGGGGTTGAAACAGCTGCGGCCGTTGGACCAGGACTTGTATGTAATTGGAAATTAACAAAATGGCGGAGAGGCCTGTACAGGACGGTCACTGTCACTGGAAGGAGCAGCAGCAGCAGCAGCAGCAGCAGCAGCAGCAGCAGCCTGAACCCTGATCCTCGCCCACAGACACATTAAAACACGTGACACTGAAATTTACCACAGTATAAACTTTAATTGCCTCATAAAATATTCATCAAAGGGAAACAGTGAAGTTCTGAACCATGAGGTGTGAGTCCAGTCACCCTACGGCCGTGGACAGAACGGCCACAACCAGACGCTGATTTACACACGGCACTGTTTAATCACCTTCTAATAATTAGTTCTTAATCACCACCATGACGGGGGGGGGGGGGCGGTGGCGCCCCCCAACAACACAGCTGCCGGTTGATTTCTCTTCAGCACACATTTTTAAATAATATTTTGTTGTTTAAAATTTTTAAGAATTATTCTGGGTAACACAGCATACTTAACCCCCCCCTCAGTGGCCCCCCTCTCCCCACCCCTCACCCCCCCTGCACCCGAGAGGTCCTTAAACTCATGATTCACATCTAGTCTCTGCCAGGACTCAAACCCAACAGGAAGTGGACCAGTATGAGTTTGTTCAGGTTGTCATGTGTGATTAAGAGTTACCAGAATATTCTAAGATAAGACATGACTGACCTTTGACCCCGCCCACTGTCCCACAGCCCAGCGTGTCACACAGACACACAACACGGAGGTTCATATAAAGGAGTAAAACGTAAAACAATCAAAATATGAAAAAGTTCAATGTTAGCCAATCAGATGTCGGACTCGTTTCCCTCAGGGATTTGACGCAGTAAGAATGGAGGTGTGGTGTTCTCCTCCAGCCACAGTCGGAGGTGATTGACAGACTTCTCTGTCTGCCAGACTTCATCAGTTTAAAAGCCCTTTTCCACCTCACGCTCCTTTTACTGGAGGAAACGTCAGGTTGGGCTTCAGAGCAGGAGGACGACGAGGGTCAGCCGTCCATCATCCAGACGGCCTCCCTCTGCTGATCTGATTGTTGAGGCTGAGGTTTCATCAGCAGAGTCGTCTGTGAACGTTCTCCCTCAACTCACACTGAATCTTCACACTGGATTATCAAAGCTGATGTTAAACCTTTTAAATCAACACTCTTCACCCCCCCGCTCCTCCACCCCCC